GTCTCTGTGGCGCAATCGGTTAGCGCGTTCGGCTGTTAACCGAAAGGTTGGTGGTTCGAGCCCACCCAGGGACGCAGGCTTTTGTGTTTAAATAGACAGACGAAGTTCCACATGTCAGCATGCTGATCAGCAGACCTGCTTGTGGCTTTGTTCATACAATAGAATCCGTTTCAGAAATGAGACATGGAAAGTTGCTGGCTTCATCGCTCCGTCAAAGTGAAGGCACATAAGTCATTGAGGAAATAGGTCACTTTTCAGTTAATGTTTGTCATGGCTTCATTCAGACATACCCATTACAGTGTTGGATGAAGGATTAGTTCTAAACAGCTGGAAGCAACCAACTTCAGCTCATCTAGTACAAAGAAAAAAAAAACTCAAATTGCATTCATTAATGTAAGTATCATTAGTCTGCAGGTGCTGATGACAGGCTCAAAACTACACATTTAAACTTTCATACATCGACAATCTAAAATCTGTCAACTTCCAAGTTGGGGCTTTCAATATCGAACACAAATGACTGAAGTTCTCAAATATTACAACTTGCCATTGTGTAGCTTAGATTAGTTTTACAGTGTTTGAGAGGAGTTAGAGGTGAACTTGTGTGCTTAAGTGGCAGAGGAGTGGATAAAGAGAGCAAGGGCTTCATAGATATCCTCATTCTAAGGGTGGCAACAGTGTTTGTTCAAGACCTGATAACCCATGGTCCGAGCTTGATTTGTCGATGTCATGAATGCCTAGCTTTTTCAGTCTTCCCTGATAAGTGTTTAGTCGGGGGAGAGAGTCCAAACTAGAAGTCAACAGAAAATACAGGTAGGTGTGGGTCTCAGAACGATCCCATGTGCACACCTTACACATGTGCAGTGTCTCTGTGGCGCAATCGGTTAGCGCGTTCGGCTGTTAACCGAAAGGTTGGTGGTTCGAGCCCACCCAGGGACGCAGGCTTTTGTGGGTAACTGACAAGGTTTCCTTGTATGAAGGAATTCTATCTTCCCTGATTATCGAAAAGGTTCCATAGCAACTGACTTAACAGTGTGGCAGAACATGTCACACACATCAGCAAGAGTAATATATCCTTGAATCCAGCATAACTACTACTGCCACAAAATGAATAGCTCATTTCTAAACTTAATTTGTGTGTAATATTGGTTAACGTGTTTAATTGGCCTTGAAATGCTTGGGCTTAAATTTACAAAAGCCATTTTCAGATGTGGGATACCAAAGGACACGTTCAATATTTGAAAGATGTTTGGTGATTTGACAAATTGTATCTTTTGCATTCTGGGATGTTTTCAGACCCGTGTAAGTGCTGAAATGCAGGAAAAGATTCTGTAAATAACTTCACACAGTTTAAAGTATGCTGTTTGTGCGTGCCTATCCTTTAATATGACGGCGTGCAGTTTAGACTTGTGTCATGTTCAATGGATTTTATGGAAAAAGGTGCTTATTCAGACAGTTGACGTGTTCCGATGCCTTCCCATTAACAGAAAGGATTGCATGCCTGAAAAGGGGGTTATAATCAAAACCCTTGCAAAGCAAAACCAACCATCTACATCCTTGAGATAGATAGTCATTGTATGGCTTTCAGCTTAGATCCTTTTAATTTTCAATCAATTTCTAAATTCTAATGTTCCCCACTGCTCCCCACATTATGTCTGACTGTTTTCCCCTTGGTGACCTCAGATCTCTTGTTGTTCAAAGGTTTTTGGTTGTTGGTTGTCACTGTCTGTGTTTCTGTCAACAGGATATGTTTGTTGAAGAGAGATGCAAAACCTGAAACATTTCAAACCTTTACCACAGGATGTGTGGCGCCCCTAGCAACAGGTCAGTCAGGTGCTGCATGAGGTTGGACTACATGCTGTGGTCTAGTGTGGGTGCCAGTTAAACATGTAACAGCTTGAGATAGACACAGTGTTGTGTAGAGTTCACAATGTTTATTCTTCTCTTTGTGTCCTCTTCCTTCATTGTTTACTTATAATTATTGTTATGAGTTCAGTCGCAGTATGAATAATCGAGGGGCAACTTTATTAAATATGTGTCGTGGAGACAGAAAGGAAAGCAGGGGAATGACATGTAGTAAAGGTCTGCCAGCCAGGAATCAAACCAGGGACTCTCTGCTGATTACATTATAACCATGTGTTTGATATGCATCCTAACCACCAGCTTTCTCTATAAATTAGAGGCTTAGAGGCTTCAAAACTGATGTCACAATGTCATTTACCAGAAATAGTTTTCACATGCACTTAATTTAACAACACAACAATGTGAATCTTATTCTGTCATTTATTCAGCATGATTGTCAGGAATATTGGATTTTATAAAACAGCAAATGTTGCCGCTACATTTATATACTGTAGATTTAGGTCAACATGCAACAAGGCACCAAATGCCTATTTTTAAAAAAAAAAAGAGAGAAAGAAAAGGAAAAATATTTCTTTCCAACATAATTTCCAGGATCATTCATCACATACCACTTAGTCCAGCATTCAAATTTAAATAGAGGAAAAAATCTTCATGTTCCTAGTATGCAAATATTATTGGCATGATTGTGAACTGTGAAATGTAGTGGTTGCATGTGTGTGTACATGTGTACAAACATAATATGTTGCTGGAACACAAGGTCAATTTGTAATTAGCAATATACGCAGGCTATGATTTTGAAACTGCCTGGCTAACACCGTACACGGCAAGACGATTCGCAGTCTCATGAAAAATGTCCTCATCTAAAATTAAATGGCTACGTCATAGCTACTGACTTTGTCAAGCATAAACTTCTCTTCTGATCTCTAGCCTCAAATAACAAAACATGTGGAGCAAAACGGGCTGTATTCAGTTAAATTCAGGGTCTGTAGCCAGTCAAAGAGAGCACAGTCAGTGCAGATGAGATCGGTGTCTGCAGGAGAGCTGCAGAGAGGAAGTCACTTTCGGAGGAACTCGTTGTACCTCTTTATTCACACCATCTGATCACTCAGTTCCTAGCTGTGTCTGTGTCTCCAGTTTGAGCTGATGGGGTCGGACTCTTCTGTGAAGTGTTTAGAGCGAGCTGCATGGCCCAAACACTCAGAGGCCTCATGTAGGCCAGAGAGCGATAGATGCCCTTCTCACAGTAGGCTTCAGGAGTCTGGAAGGCCATACCCAGCCTCTCCCACACAGTCCGGTAGCAACCCTCTGCTGAGCGCATACCCTCCTCCCGCATACCCTGAAGGAAAAAAAAGACAGTATTTCACTTAATGTCCAATGTCTGCACAACTAGTCATACAAAAACACACTTGTTATCAGCTATTATGCAGTTGCTTTGAGGGCAGTGTCCGTAAACAAACATCTTAACTGTTCAGTGAGAAACTCTTGGGAAATAGGCTTATTCGCTTTCTTGCTGAGAATTAAGTGAAGCAATTGATGTGAGATGCAGGAATCAGGAGACAGTTGCATGACTCCAGGGAGTATTTCCTGTCCGCTGTTAGTTATATACACATTATTGAGTAATTCCTCAACTGCTTATATGACACACGACAAAAACTGTGTTTTACAGTAAAATAAAACTGTTCAAAAAACTTTAAAAAGCCAAAACTGAAATCTTGAAAAGGCAACTTTTCACTAACGAGTACCCAAAAACCTCAAGATATATCACTGACTATCCAATAGGACAAAAAAACGTCATATCTATATATCAACTGAAGAGCTGGACTTAGAAAATGTTTGGCAGTTTTGCTTGAATAATGACCATAACAAATATGAGAATTGTTCCTCTTTTTCCAAATGACTGTTCATCGGTGCAACAAGCGCGGCTCGTCCAATACTGCAGTGGCAGCAAAATATAAGTATGATACACCTGATAGTTTCACACCCTAAATGGAAAGTAGATATTCACATACACACACGTATTTACCTCATAGATCATAGTGGCTGCCAGTCCATACACTACTCCAATCCAGACCTCATCTGATTGGACACTGGAGCGGTCAGGCACTCCCTCAGGGCGCATGCCATTAACTGCCCCCATCTGACCCCCAGCAAAGCTCATTACATTCAAGTCAAAGACAGATTTTAGTGCAGTCTGGATCTTCTCTTTAGGAAAAGCCTGGAGGGACACAGAAAGTGATGCTTTGATGTTATATCCCAACCTAAAAACGAGACTTTACCGGTATCTGTGCTCTCTGGAGGTTTGCAGGAGAGAAGATGTTAAATCAGGAACCTTAAACAAAAAGCATTGAACTGCATGCAAATAATAATATATTTACAAGATTCAAAATATGAATCTGATGCTGTTCTGTGTTCAAAAAGCTATTTTGCTACTCTGCATGTGTAATATAGAATTAACATCATTGTGTAGCTACAATATGTGCTGCTCAGTATGTATCCTGGACAAAATATTAATACTGAATAGGGATCAGTTGATGAACTTTGCAGTGAATTGTCAAAATAAAACAAAAAAAGAACCATGTCTCTAGTTTTTGTTACAGATACATGTGAGTTTAACTGCCCAAGACTACAGTTTATGTCGTTGTGTCTACTGGACACAGAAAATCTTTAGACTCCCAAATATCAGTAGTAACTTCAATACCCCGTTGTATGCTTGGTGTGTTTTTCCCTCTCCTTTAGTGTGTGATGGCTTTTTTGTGCATGTCTGTAAACTTAAAAAGTCATTGCCAAAGGGAATTATTCTCTGTCACAGTAAACAGTGCTCCTAACATGCCTGAAATGCATTAGTTAAAGTTCAGGTTTTTCTTCTGGCACTAATCTATCTCACAATGTGACACATTCACAAAACGCCTGCCTGATGGCGAGTTTAGCGAGAGAGATATTGTCGTTCAAACATAGCCGTAAATTTCAATGCATCAAAATGGCATGATGAAGCATGTGAACATACTCCAGAAGACCCCCAAAATACAATTATAAACTTACAAATGTGCATTAAATGTGGGGTTTTTTTTGTTTTTCTTTTTTAAAAACCCAATATGGACGTACTTCATCTATTAAAGACCAGCTGGAACTTTACAGTTAGAGTCTTCTCATTTTGCAGAGCTTTTAGAAAAAAGGGACCTGTGGTTTTCAGGACTGTTTGCCTAAAGATGTTTTTAACTTGCCTGGTATTCTCCGTCTCCCAGCCCAGATGCTCGCAGGAACCAGTGGCCAGCACACTGGTCAGACATGACACTGTTAGAAAGGTCTCTCCCACTGCTGTCATAGTTGTAGTATTTGCCTAAACATGATGGGTGAAAAAAATGAGGAAGTTAAAGCCTTCCAGCAGCTCACTCAGATTATTTACCTAAAAACAGTGGACACATGTCTAAAATCATGATGACTACAAACTTAGCTAAGCTCCTAGTTTTTTCATTTGTTGTCAGTCCATGCATGAGAATGAGTAATTGAGTTTGTTTTTTGACTGTCACTGATTAAAATACACAGTTTCTCTCTTTTTAAACCAGGACTGAGGGCAACTGAGTGAACACTTTCCATATTCAACAAAATGGATGTTTGAACTTGCCGTTCCACAGCAGTTTGTCAAAAGCAGCACTGCCTCTGTCCAAGAGGTCTCTGTAACGCTGGTATGTCTCCTCGCTGTCCACCAGTCTGGCCATTTTACACATCACACACAGAGACGCCAACCACAGCCCTCCACAGTATGCACTGCAAAATACAAATAAAAATGTTACACCAGTCAGAATGTGTTTATGAACTGGACTTCTCTCCTAGATGTTAATACAATTTGTATGGATGTACTGATCAAGATTGTTTGAGAACTAGCTCTTAAATCTGTCTGAACGTTGATTAAACATCTGACACAATGAAAAAACAAACAAACTGCAGAGGCTTTCTGATGCAAGATATTTGTTCAAAATATTGAAGTATTACAGAAATATTTTTGAATCATTAATATGACACAAGCACAGTCTAAATGGAAGAACGTGACCAATGAAATGACATGAAACAAGTAACTACAGAGAGTAAACAGCAGTTGGAATTGATTGAACTACAGGAACACTGTCTAATTGCACTCACTGAAGAAAAGATGGTTTGTTTTGGCTGATCCAGTAAAATGTGCCTGGGTCGGCCACTGATACTGACTTGGGACATCTCTTAATTATTTGTGTGAAAATTCAGTGTGGAAGTCAGAAATTACCCTGCTGTAAGCACGTTGCACTAATATTAATTGTGAAAAAAAACCCCAAAACAAACCAAAACTAAAACTAACATCAGTTTTCCTCTATACTGGACTGATGTCAGATGTATTGTCAAACCCCCCTGATGAGACATTCCTGAGCATACAATAAGTTAATGACGAAAAGACAAGTTAACCAATAACAGCACACAACTTTTAACCCTATGAATGCCAAACAGTGTCTGGGTGTTTTGAAAGTGCAGTAGAGACGACTCAAAATTGTCTTGATGCTGTATGACCAAACTGTTATGCCATAAATCAAAATTCTAATTCTAAAGGTTATTTATTTTACAGAACATGAAAAAAACCTGCAGTCAACATGTACAACATTTCCCATAGATGCTACATGTACTGGGATAAAACAGCAGCTCTACATAGATATTTAACTGCTTATATTTTTTCTTATATTTGTTTCTATACTTGTCTCCCTCGATGTAAACTGTTTTGCTATATAGATAATTGATTATTTAAATTTTGAATTAAGATTTCCCAGCATATTTAGTTCAAGGACCATGAGAAATTTCAAACTCTGATGATTCCTTCTGTATTTAGAGTTTCTAGGTCTGATAAATAGTGTAATGTTTTGCAGATTTTAAAAATGAGCATGCCTTTTAAACCTGCCACCAACCCCAGCTTCAAATAGGTTATGCAAAAATGAAAAAACTGAAACACTATTATTCCTTAAATCAAGTAAAGTCAGTCGAGCCAGTGTTTAAATCCCCGTGCTAATGTTAATTTACAATGTTTGTGAAGTTTTTGTACTGTCAGTCCTCTGTGTCCACTGTTTACAAGTTGAAACGATAGATCAGCGAGATGAAGTCGTAAACAGGAACTTCAAGTTTTGGAAGCCAGAGCCTTTGTTGAAGAGTCAGATCCCAACCTCGGCTCCTTGACTCACATTTAGAGAAGCACTGCAGCTGTGAACAACTCAGTTTTTCCATTTCCTTCCCTGTCTCCCTTCCCCCTGCCAGCCACTTCAGACTTGAAGTTGTAAATAAAATTACTGTACAGTGGGTTCTTTTTTAAGGAGTGCTCAAGTAGTTAAGGACTTGTAATTATAATTGCATAACTGGTTTGAAAACAGCTGGATGGAACCAACAGAAAAGTCATGCTTCAGTCATTACATGTGCTTTCCCAATAGTTTCCTTCTGCCAAGGTTTATTGGCACTAATTGTTTATCTCGAGGCTGCGGGCAGCATCTGTTCACATCAGTGTCATGGATTTAGTTGCAAAGCTGAAAACAACAACACCACTGTGGGCTCATTTTAACTTTAAGCCAAGTGAAAAAGAGGAGGCCAGGAACTTGAAGAAAAAAGAGGCAACCAAAGACAGTTGTACCACTAATCTAAAATTACAGAAAAAAACAATTAAAATAAAATAATAGACGTATAAAATTAAAAGAAAAAGATGTTACAACTTATTAAGTCATTGTCAGAGGTGTTTAGAGTTGTTTTTTTATATAAGGAGAATGTAATACACATCCTATATTCTTTCATTCTTCTGTTCTTACATCTTCAGTGTCCTAAAATTAAGTTCTATATTTTCTGTGCTGGTGTAGAAGGCTGCCATGTTTTCCCATCCTGTCCATTTGTTAAACTCTTACCTTGGTCCAGTCACAGTCCAACCATCATAAGTCTGGTCAGCGTATCCAGAGTTCTCTATCAGGCCATCTCCATCCAGGTCAAACTTTAACTCCGACTCCATCACTGCCTAACAGATCAAGCAGATTAAAACCTTTATGTGGGACAAAATTCTGAACAAGTAACCAAAAAAAAATAAAAAATCAGAGCACTCCACTCTACTATGAATGGCATCAAATACATTTCTCAAATTAGTAAAATCAAGACTGTTTAATTGGTTATACCTGGCAGATGGGCCACATGTCCTGCAGGTACTGGTTGTCCTGGGTAAGATGAAAGTCCCTGTAGACCTGCAGGACATACTTGAGGTTCAGGTCCTTCCAGTCTGCAGTGTCGTGGATTAAGTAGGCATTCACTCTTTGCCAAGGTTCATCATCTGGAGACAGTTCATGACAGAGAAATAAAAATGTATTCACCACTGAACCCTCGACTGCCTGAAAGGTGGTCAATCAATCAAAACATTAGAAAAGCAGTCCTGACGTCTGGATGTTTTGTAGTAAATAAATGTTAACAGTAGTACGGTCTCTCAGTAAGGTTTTACATGAATTAAATATCATCATTCTCCTCCACTTCACTCAGCGATTGCCTTTCATCCTACCTGGGTCTCCGACGTCGTGAGGCACCACATTCTTGGACTTGACGGGAGAATACCGCCCACTCATCAGATGGAGCCTCTCTGTTGGGTCCTTCTGAACCACACTGCCAGCTGAGAGGAGATGAATGCTGTGAAGTCTGTGCCTGGTATGGCTCCTCATTAAACACTTATGCTTAGTTAATTGAGAAAACATTAAGAATTTGCTCACCAATATCATATTGCACACTCAAGGCAAGTTTGGGCCACAGCATGATGAGTGCGAAGGACGCATAGAAGTGCACGTCGTATGTGTTGTACATTCTGTACTCCTGACCTGGGCAACAAGAAATATGGGTCATCAGTACCTTATTTAACACAGACATTTCTCTGTTTATTAATTGTTCGTATGTACACATCACACTTTTTGGACATTAAATACAGCTATTGTTTATATAAGACATGTCATACCAATAATTAGCTGTGAACTGTAGTCATTAAGGGTCTGCACATGTAAAGAAAAAAAAACGTAACCGTAAAAGCTAACACCCATTTCCTTGCCCACCTTCTAGGTAAGCAAAGCGGCCGTACTCCTTGACAACAGCAGGCTGAGCTGGCAGACCCCCGTCCTCGCTGCGCACGCCACCACTGACATCAGCGTCCTCCAATAACTCCGTCCACACTGTCCCCCCATCCGCCACAAAGTACAGTTCGTTAAACAGGGCCGACTTATACCAGGAGGGGAGAGAACTGCAACACACAACACAAGCAAAAGTAGAAACAGTGATCAGCTGCTGACGTGGATCGTCAAATACAGTAACAGAGACGGCAAATACATAAGTATGCGTGGTTTGAAAATACTGTCGTCTATGATTAACCAGTGGAAAGTCTGTGTGGTTTAGTGACAGAAGTGCCTTTTTATCAGAGCTGTGAACTACCTGTCCTGCAGTATGGGGTTTTGCCACTCCTCAATGCTTCTCTCCCATTGTTTGTAGTGTGTTAGGGCGTAGTGACTGAGCGAGGGAGATGCATCCCCTTTGGTCCCAAAGTAACGACCGTATCTCCTGCAAACAGAAAAGCCACAAACTGATGGCGAAGGCACAAAAATCCCACATGCTCATCAACAAAAAGAAGAAACATTATATCTTCAAATCTTCAATAATTTAACAACGATGGCAGAGGTCAGGTTTGGTTACAGAAAAGCAGAGAGGTTCTCAGGGACGATTGTGTTTGTGTGTCAGCTGTGGTTTGTCTTGAGGCTGCGAAACAGGATACAGATTGAAAGTAAACTTGTCTAGTTATCATCTGTCAGCAGTTTTTTTTGTTGTTGTTGTTTTTGCTATATTTGATACTTTTTCTGCCTTGGTCATTATAAATGATCCATGTAAGAAAATTCTTGAGCTGTAGAAACTGATCTGAAACTAAGTTGAGCGAGTAACTTCTCTAAACCACAGCTGGCAAAGTTAAAGTAGCACTGGTGTGGTTTTCCTGCACTGCAACCTGAGTATGACAAGGCAGCAAACTGAGCTTGAGGGAAACAACACCTGCATGTTGCAGTGCTGAAGTGGAACGAACAATAGTAGAAACTGGGCGGCTTCACATTCCATAGATGTCAGGGGGAAGATAACTCAGTATCTACTATGTTATACTGAGCTGTGTCATGCTTTAATGTAACATCACCATACACGACCACAGGTATTAGAAAAGGTGATATTCTAAATACAGTACCATAGAAACTCAAAAGGTTTAGAGGAATTTCTCAGCTCATTTTAATGTCATCTCCACCTTCTACAAAGCAACATACTGCGTGTGTATTTCTTTTGTGTTTGTTGTACCTGATGTGTTCCCTCTCCCTAGACCCAAAGGTGATTTTAGGCATGTCCCAGGACAGGCAGAACTCCAGGGTGTTTCGACTCTGAGCCGGCACAGAGCAGCCAACAGCTAAAGCTGCTGCCACCTTTTCTCCTTTCGGTGTTGGCGGACTGGAGCCTGTAGAGGTAAGACAGAGAGGGATAAGAGTTCGCTGAGAAAAGCTGAAACAGAAACTATTCTCAATGTGTGGCAACTCTGTTAGTTTAATTGTTTTAACACATTATGAAACAAAGTCAACACCAAACACATTAACTGAGAACACTGTAGTTACCTCATAGAATTACAGAAAATATTGCAAAGTGCACCTTGTGTCCTTAATTATGGACCCAAAGACCCAGTAGGTTGGTAGAATTAAAAGACTACATATGCTATTGCTTTTAAAGCCCCAAATTAAACGGGTTCGGTTCACCTTTTTTAAGTGTCTTTGGAGCATTTTATACCTTATTAAGAGAGACAACAGCAGAGACATGAGAAAAATGAGGCAAGACATGAAACTAGTTGCTGGCTGTACTCGGATTGGAGACAATTATGTTGTGTGGCTCTAAAGACCTTTATAACACTGATTTTTTTTTTGTTAACTTCCATCCATCCATTATCTATACACCGCTTAATCCTCACTAGGGTCGCGGGGAGGCTGGAGTCTATCCCAGCTGACTTGGGGCGAAGGCTTTTTTGTTAACTTAATTGACCATTTTCAATTTCAGTCAGGATTTTAATTTGATCTTTGAAACCATTTTGAAAAAGTTACACCAAATTCTGTTGAACAATCTGCACATCATTTTTAATGCTCAAGTGATGCATTGCTATACGTTTTTTGTTTCTTTTTTTGGTTCAGTTTCTTTTCTTCTTGGCATTTTTTTAAGAGTGAGTGGGGAGAGGTGCATGGTGACAGAGGGACTACATAGATCTGCAAATTCTAAAGGAATTAATGGTGTAGAGTTACATCTAAGCCATTTTAAAGTGAGAAACGATTACCTGTGTGGGAAGAAAAAAAAACCTTCAAAATATCTAACTTGGATACACAGAGATGAGTTTTTAGGGGTTTATTTATTGACTGAAGAGGGACTTAAAGTTGTGCAAACAGCAGCTTTTAACATGTGCTTTCGTCTTTCCATAGATGTTTTCAAGCACTGACCTGTAGGAGAGTCCAGCCGTCCGTCAGTGATCAGGTCACTCCACAAACCACTGCAGGTTCCCTTTGGACTGAACGCTGTCTGGTGACTGACCTCCCTGTCAGGCTGGTAAAACATGCACACACAGTCTTTGTAAATCTACAACCTAATGCCTATAAAACAGCCCAGATTTCTCAACCAGTTTATGATTATAAATCTGCTTCCAGACAAGAGAGACTATTGTTACAAACCCCATGTTTATTCCCTGCTTTACTAAGCTACTGAACATGAAAACCTTCATGAAGCTGTTAGAATCATAAACTCAAATCAAACCTGCTCTCGGGCTGCGATGCACAAGGTGTAAGGGTTAACCGTGGTGCAGTGATGTAGCAAGACCCCGGACACCGCCTCCCCCTCCTTCTCCAGGTGGAACGGTTCATTCCAGTGTCCGCCACTCTTGTCGTCCTTGTGTCCTGATCCGTTGACCATAGTAAACATGATGGAGACGTCCAGAGCGTAGTCATTTTTGTTCTCTATGTCCCACACGAATACTGCCACCGGGAGACTCGAGTCCTGACAGAAAGGACATGGATTAACTTTATATACCAGCATATACCATCTATACTGTATTTTATCTATATACACTGTGAGTGAAGCATTGAACGGTTGAACTAAAATGTCCAAATGCCAGATTTAGACTGTACTTTCAACTTAAAATGCCATATGATTATGTACCTTTTTCCAGCCTAATTTGGACGAGTTAAGCATCCAGTGTCTTAGCTGACTTGTAATCATAATTGAATTGCACAGGGCTCTGTGTTGAACATTTCAAGTTCAAGGACATTTTTTTAGTTACTGTTTGATTAAATTTGCTTGTGGAGGGGTAAAAGGTGTCAAAGCAATCAAAGCAGTTAGTAAAATATTCAAAGCCTGTTGCAACTGCAAACAACAGACAAGATGTCGCATCATATAAAACTGTCTGTTACCTGGTAATCGTGAGGGATGACTGGGGAAATCTGTCGACAGGTTAGAGTGACATTCTGTCCTGGCAGGTGGTAAACTGTCCAGGCACGAGGATACAAGGCGTGATAGAAGGCATACTCCCCGCAGTAGCCCCAGTTCCAGCCTTGTAATGTGGGTGGACGCTCCACCGATAGCACCTGCTGGTAAACAGTTTGTCCTCCACGACGTAAACACACTGTGAACTAAGAAAACAGGAGAAGCGTGAGCGAAAACACGTTAGCATATAGCAAATGTTGTATCTTTTTATTAATATGCATGTCAGGGGGATGAGACAGTAGGTCAGAAGTGTGCAGAGTGTGAATTTACTTCTTCTAAACCTGCCTTATCTCATTTCTCAATCACATTTCCCAGAATTCCCTCCGGAAAACATCTGTGCATGTGTCTTAACAAGCTCCCAGCTATCATTTCTTCATGCAAAAGGAGAAGATGCCAGTGACAGTAAGAAGGAGAAGGCAAGTTTTTTTCAAGGACAAAAAGAGTCACACCATGTCGTCAAAACACAGTAGTACTGAGGCTGCTGTTGGGGAAGAATTTGTCTGTTCTAGATCAGTATGTCCCTGTTTAAGTGTTAAGCACCTATAAAAGTGAGTTCTTACTCTTTAGAGTGGCTGACACCAAAGTCTGCATTCAGGTGGATGTCTACAGCAAATGAAAATTGTATTTAACTATAATTTAGCAGCTTTGGAAATATGTTGTTGTGACGTTTTGCTGTCAGGATTCAGGCAGGCAAAAAGTAAAAATTACAAACTGTTCCTATGGAATTGGCTGGTGTTCTGGTAGTTTATGACACCCAAACCAGCTCCATTGAAGTGTAGATACAGGTGATTATTTATCTGTAAATCTAGATTGAGACACCTCTAGGAGTGGTTGCTGGACTTTGTTTGCTGATATCATATAAGTCAACAAGCCATTGTGCACAATGTCAAGAGACCAAAATACAGAAAACAGCCTAAGTTTCATTTCACTGAGACATGAATTTCTGCCTCCTATCTGTATCCTTTATACCTGGTTGGCTGTGACAGTTTTGTAGTGATACATCCCAGGGTTAAGTTGCCATCTGCAGAACTCTCCCCTCCAACCTCTCGTGATGGTACCGCCTCCAATACCGCCAAGTGGAGCACCTGTAAATTATAGTACAGTGTCAACACTGAGACATATGAAGCAAATGATCATAAAGTTATATGAGAGGGAAGTCTGCAAGGTGCTGGACAGGTTTCACACAAGCACTTAAATCACAGTCGGCAATTTTTTTGTGTAAGATTACACAGAATAATTGATCAAAATTACACCAAGCACTGACAAAATCAGTGGCCTTGCTATAATTTAATTATTTTATACCTTTTAAATTGAGCAAAAAATGTCACAAGTTGAGCACACTGTGTCGCAAGTTAATCCACACTCACCATATATTTGCCGCAAGGGTTGGGCACGAAACATATCAATGAATGGAGCCTTCTTTTCCACCTGGGTCTTCTTGTACCACCACTTTAGATACCTGGGTGAACACATTCATACAACACTCTGATCACTTCACAAGTCAAACGTGGAAGAAACGCAATTTTAAAAGTTTAAGAAGTTAAGGGCAGCAAAAATCAAGTGAGGACATAAACAAATGCTCAGACACAGCATGCACTTAAACTGTGGTCATGTGTTCAAGGCTATTGATTAGGAGTGATGTTAGCTTTCAAAGGAGTTTACAAATGAGCATCCTACGCACATGTGCAATTAGTAAACATGTTTCTTCTTCTCGCTTGTTCATTTTTCTCTTTTCAGTCTGTTAAATGCAGCTACAGCAGTTTCCAGGCCCTAAGCACTCTCGGCCAAAGCTGGATCCGACAGTGACAGTTTGCACACACACACACAAACACACACAGGCAGAGAGAGAAGAGGGAATTGTGCAATTGCATGAAGGAAGTATTTGTAAGATGAGGGGAGTGCAGCCCAAGAGGCAGGTCTACTTTATCTGAGCGATGTTAACAGTGCAAGTGTGTGTCTGTGTGTGTGCATGCATGTGTCTCCGTGCCGCACTCGGTGTCAAATATTAATTAGGCTACGTTACAAAAGGTTTCAAACAGCTCGCAGAGCCTGACGCCCGAGGCGCCGTGGTTCAGAGTCATTAATCGTTTTATGCTCTGAACACTGATCTATGACATGCGAGATTTTCTGCTAATATGCCAAATAAAGCTGCCGTTTTTACTTGAGCAGTGGTGTCTTTTCAGACAGCTCATGAGTTCAGCACCGACCAAGCTGCCAAGCTGATGGCCTTCGTTACCTTTAACTACATGTCTTCAGTTTTTAGCTCATGCTTGTAGTGGAAAGCAACTGTTGGTGTTTATATTTGCAAAGTGAAGCTTTTGAAAGGCTCCAGCACAATGAAAATAGCCATAAAATACAGTATTTGCAGCAAGCTGACAGGTTGCTGAACAAACCACTGACTCAGCAGTTTCTTTGCAGGTGCTGCAATCCCTGGCAGTTAATTTGCTTCCTGTTTGGATAACTGGGCAATTGGCATTTTTACAGATCATTCTCTCTCCAAATTGGCCAAAACAGACAACGATGTCAAGGCAGAATTGTTAGCAACATCAGGGTTTATGTGTACATTCTGTTATGTAGTCTAAAATAGATGTACAGTGGCTTACATCAGACTGTCTGTGAAGTACACAATAAGCTGTGCAAGCTTGAACCAATGTTTCTGTTTGTGAGTGTAGCAGGGATTCCTCCAGGATTTTTTAGCAAATGTGGCCAGCCACAGAGATCCTGATGTATCTTGTTTCATACTTAATTTTGAGGGTAATGGCTGCCTAAATAGTTGCCTAAGTAGTTCACACTCATTAGAAATGTGACATTTTCTGTGTGAAAGAGCACTCCAGTCCTTTCCCCCAAAGTTAATGTTTTACCAAATTTTATTGCTGTTATCTACATTTGTCTTTTTCTAGGAAGCTAAAATAGACTGCAATAAACCCACATACATCGATCTAATATAAATGCAGCTCTTCTTCTCTACACTATGTGCATCATTAAAAGTCCAAACAGGGCAGGGATGACTTGCACATCAGAATAATCAATTAAGTTTGAGCCTCAAAGGGATTTCTGCTTGTTGTGAGGAAGATCGGACCCTGTGGAACTGCAGTACTGCTGTGCAAAACAGTGGCGCGCCCAACTGTACTGCAAACAATAATGACTTCACAGCAAAGCTCAGTCCAGGCAAACAACAAAGGACCACCAATATTCCAGTCAGGAGGAGATGAATAGGATCAGTTAAAGCGTATTATTTGAGGTCATGGCAGGTTCCTCTTTTGTCAGGATGCCATTCTGCAGCTCAGCTGGAATGCAAACAATTGTCCTCAGTCTTATCTGAACCTGCAAACACAAGCCAAGTCTTCCAACCTGAATCTAACCTGTGTGCTGTCTCGTTAAACAACAGAAACACAATGTCCACACACTGAAATCCAGTTAACAGTAGTTCTGTATTTTTCCAGCTACATGAGCAGCTGGGTACGTGCACAGGGAAGCTTTTCACAAAAAAATGTTTGTATTCGATTAATCCCACAGTGCTGCACCTCTTACACACATGAATGAAACCTGAGGGTGTGGCTGTACCTGGGTCAGCCAGTTGCCCTGTCTTTAATTCCTCTGAGAAGTAGGAAGGAGCTTTGCTGAGACTACAGAATGTTTGCTTTACTGCAACAGTTCTCTAAAAAGTGAAGCAAGTTTGAGGTTTGAACTGCAACTATTTTCTGGGAACGTGTTGGATAGAGAAATACCACGCCTCACTATTGTTTGCTCCCAGCTAAAGGAAACTACATATCCATATCAAACTTACAAGATCTGTGGTATTCCACTGCACTGGAGGTGTCACATTGAGAGATTTTGTAAATATTGGTGATTTGGATTGAGGTAATTATATGTAAAAACTACTCGTTATCCAGTCTCTGGTTTTTCAAAGAGTAACAAATACACAGATCTGTATACAAATGAAAACTAAGAGGAGGCCTAGTGGTTCACACCAGGCTCTGATGCAGCTAAAAACTCCTCAGTCATGCCACGTTCTCAGGATTTAAACAATAACTGAGAAAGTGCAATCCGCTAAAGCTGCAGAATGTGTTACTTTGCATCTCAGATCTCAGCAGGTTGCTTGGAAAACAAACACAGATGTTAATCTGTGCTGGATTTTTTTTTTTTTTTTTTGTACAGCTGCAGGCAAACAATTCATCTTCAAATATTTAACAAGCTGCAGGAAACTTTAAAAGCAGGCGTGTCATGTTTTGGGGACTGTAAATGTTCACTCCTGTTATCTTTATTGCTGGAGAGGTTTTGAAGTCAGAGAGGAGCAAATAATCTCTACCTTGAACTTTAGGCTGACCTGGAACCAGACCTCATAGATCACTCTAAAGAACAGTCCAATGCTTGTTCAGTCCTCAAGACAAGGAAGGTATTTTTAAGTTGCCCCCTTTATGTAATCTAGCATTTATAGAGAATCTTCTGTTTCAATGTCCACCTTGCAGATATGACAAAATCGTGGACAACTAACACTCACATCTGCACTGAAAGAGACTAAACAATTCGACTGAAGACATTGCAAAAGCACTTATCAGTCTATGCAGGAAAAAACCCCAACAGCAACTCACTTACTCCTGTAGTCATTGTAGACATTGTCACTGTTATCAGTTTTAAATGGAACTGTTTTATTGCTTCTTTCTTTCTGAAATGTATCTTTAACTCTGCTGTTTAAACTAATCCTTTTATTCCATCCTATGACTGGAGTGTGTGGAAAATGAAGATATGATAACTTGTGGAAGCATCCCAAGTTACAACAGAGAAATCCCCTAAAGCTGCAGAATGTGTTCATTTTCATCTCAGGTGTTTTCATCTCGCGCGTTGTTGGGAAAACAATGATTTACTGTTTGATCCTGTCCTAGAACTGGAGCACATGGAAAATCAGATATACCTTGTGGAAGCATCACCATTTTCAAGTCAGTACTTCATACTTGCTCTCAGGTGTGCTCTGAGGAATATGACACTAATGCTTCCCCAGGTACGGCACCATGGAAACAAGGCTATGGGTTGAACAGTATAGGCTAAAGGTTGCTATGACATATGGAGGCATAAACTGAAGCAGCCAGTGTCAATTGAGGACAAAAGCCTCAGTGTGTACTGAATGTACAATATAACTGATGAGGATTTTGTGCCTCATGAATTTCTTTTCAATGCATCTCTTTATTGTGTATCTTAATGTTCAAAAATGTGAAGGCCACAGAGGGAATGTCTCACCTGATTCCAAGGCCGACATGCTCCAAGACGTTGGACAGCGAGACATCTTTTGCTTGAAAGGGCTTTCTCTTCTCCTTGAACTCGTGTGCCAAGCAGATACGCCAACCATCCTTGGGCACCCCGTATCCCATTTCATTGGAGACATACCTACTCATGAGGTCCGCCGTGGATTTCTCACCCCACTCTGAAGTCATTTTTGCAGTATTTTCTATTGAAGTTGTAGGAAAAAAAAGATTATTCTGTCTCCAAGCAGGGAGTTGCCACCACCTTCTGTAAACAGAGTCAGTTTGTCATGCCTTCACCGTGGAACAGGAAGGAGGTAGCCACAGGTGCCGTGGAAATCTTTAAATGAATCAGTGAACTGCGAAGACACATTCCAGTCGGGCAAACCGGTTCAGGACTAACAAGCTCCTATAATAAATAACTGCTTATTCAGGTTGGAAATTCCAGTGCCATTATTTAGTTATTTCAGTCCACAGGAGCATTAGGTCTCTTCAGCTCTATGTGTTCATATCCTTAGGGATGTTTTGGAACAATCTTCCACTTCACCCTCTGGATTCTGTTTTTGTTTGAGACGTTAGACCCCTTTGCCCCTTTTGGATGGAGTCCAGATGTGGCTGTGCAGCTGTGAGCACCAGTGATCGGATGGATGGATGATCAGCTATAGCATCAAGGATGCCTCAGTCATGCAGCCAGGACACCTGCAATGAGATAAAATGGTTAAAAAGTGGCAATCACATTCACCCGGTTCAGATTTAGGAGGGCCAATATCAAACAACCGGTTAGCTGCAAAGCCGCAAACATCTTAACGTTAACACCTCAATCAGTAAACCGTTAGCTACAACACTCCTGTGCTTTAAAGTCAAGAGAGGGAGACTACTTTACATGCTAACCTGGTATTAAATACGTGAGATAAGAGGTAATTGTTTTGAAAGAATACCAGAGCGACGGCGTCATCCCGATGCAGCTCCAAGCCGACCTCTGGTAGGATCCTGTAGCTTCAGCTAGCACGGTGTTCGATATGCAAATCCCTTAGTTTCCCTTGGGTCATTTTTCCTTCCCGTTGACTCGCAGGCACCAAACTCTGGCAGGCTATTTACTGCTAAGGCATCAATGTACAAAGTTTCCTAAACCAAACCTCAAGCAAACCAACAACCTTAGACTGAGTTGAAGGCTACGGAATAAATAATTGTTGAAGTGTGATGTAGTGCAAATGGGCAAACAGCCTGGCAGTTAATGTTGCCTGACAAGCAAGGCCCAGGGATAAATCTACGCCATGTCACAAAGCCGCTGGTGAGCAAATACCATTTGAACTGATAAAAGGGGGGGTTGTATTCAATTCAATGTGTTACTTAGCCCTCCACTGTACAGGCATTCATGCATTATGATAAGTATGCAATTTAAGAATGCAATATAAAGAGTTTTCTGTTGAATGATCAGCAAATATGCGTAAAAACGTCTATTATTTGTAACTAGTGAGCGTATCTCTCCCTATGTGTTACCATAGCAACAGTCCGGCTCTCGTTTCCCTGCCTGTAGCGCTGTTCTAAATGGTCGACGAAAAAACTTTCCGGAATTTTTTTCACGGTCGGTCTATTCTTTAAAAATGCGTAACGGGTGGCTATAATGTACAACACGGCAGTTAAACGACATATTTTAAAATAATGTGTAGGCTTTGTGATATATTTGTTTATTCTTCATGAGTTTTCTCTTCCCGTGGTTAGTGATTGGTCGACCGGCAGCGGAAATAGAATCCCTTATTTTTTTGTTTACTGTAGCTGGAATGCTAGCTGACTAGATAAGCTATGCCCAGTTTTTCTGGAAATACTGTAAACTTTTTTACTATTTTATTCGAAAAGTACATTTAGGTTTACGTTGGGATAACACTGTAATTGTTTTACCTCAGTGTCGCTTGTGGCCAAGGTATGTGTTAAAATAGCGATTTAAACGGCAGCCTTTAGCAAAAACCGACCAAACAAGTTAACTTAAGTTGTCTGCAGTCTGACTAGAGGAGTGTTTATAGAACTGTAGTGGTGTCTAGCTGGAGTAACTAAACAAAGTCTTTCAAATTTCATCGTACTGTTCTCTATATTAGTGGTCGAATCCTTCATTTAGTAACGTAGCGGTGTTGGTGTGTAACGTTACAGATGATCGAGGTGGTGGCCTCCATGGCCCGAGGCCCGGTGTTCCTGGCCGGGGAGCTCATGGAGTGTCTAATAACGTTCACCAACCCCATGTCTCACCTCTCCACGTCTGCCAGCAGGTAGGATTTCACCTCCTCACTTGTCATGTAGCTGCACACACAAGAGGCCAGCCTCTTTCTTTGAAAATACAACGTAATAAAGTTGAACATTGAAAGATCTGAAAACATCATGAAAGATTACTTTACAGAATTCTAAACTGAGCAAAAATCTGAATTTAGCATGCAAATGGTCATCTTTTTGACTTGGCATAAAGCTAAAAAAAAACTCATCTCTATTGTTATAGTAAGAAAAGGGTAAACATTTAGCCAATTGCTCACCAAACTTTTTTTTAGCTGTTCAACAGATGAAATATTCTCAATTATTGAGAGTATTCACCCTCTATTCAGGTGTAACTTTAAAAGACAATGATCAGACTGAAGGACCAGTACACAAGCACCCCTTTGATCATTGTCTCGAAAACTGACCTCAAAATGCAGCTTTATTCAAACAACACAATACAACAGATGACCAGAGAAAGACGAGAACGGTCTGGTGGCGTGCTGGATGCCGGCGTGTCAGTTAAGGCACTTGAATGTCCACAACTCCACCTTTTTCATCATCATCTAAGAAATCTTGTTTCAGACAGCTGTTGATGTATTTGGCACGTTATGTGGGCAAACATAAAGTTGTTCCTAAAGAGAAGAGTGTCTTTTTTGGGGGTGTAATTTTTGAATTGTTGAAAAGGAAGTTAATTTTGTATTTCATTGCTCCATGTACAGGGACTTGACAGATGTCCTCTTTAAATAAAAAAAAGAGAATATAAACTAAGTCATTCTTTGTTTTGGCTGTCTGATGGTAATGTGTTGGATTCTTAAGGGAGATGTGTTTTTTCAAGATTTATAAGAAAGGTAGGATCCTTAACAATAGGACATTTCTGTTGCCTAAAAAGGATCTAAATGTAAAGGATTTGCTAATCTTGATTTGTTGTTAGTAATTAGCAACGAATGATTATTCTCATTGCCAATAAATCTGTTATTTTCTGTCACAAAGGGGTCTTTGTAATCCCATATAGACTGTGAACCATAAGGTGCTGGACACTGAAATCAATTATTTACACTGTAAATTCCTTTGCGTAACCCTTGTTTTCTGACTGTGTCCCAGTGAGATGCTGGCGTGGGCCAGTGCCCAGATCCACTGTCAGTTTCATGCCAGTGAGAACAGAGTGGCCCTGCCCACCCAGGGCAACAAACAGGATGTCCAGGCTGAGAGCGACACAGTGCTTATTCCAAGCAGAGGTGAGTAGCACAGAATAGAAGAAGGAAAATATAGAATCTGAGGGGAAGAGAAAGGAAAATCTTTTTATGCTAATTTATATAAAACCACTCATAGTTGTATTGTCAGGTTTGTTGTGTTTAAATTATATATGTTAAAAAAAATTGCTGCAAACTACAAGTCTTACAACAAATATTTCAAAGCATTATTGTTCTTGTGAAAACATGGACTTGTTATTGCTGCATGTTTATTATGACCTGAATCGCTTCAACAATAGTTTCTTTTTTCTAAAGGAGAACGAGGGCAGTGTGTGTTGGACACCCCACCTAAGATACTATTCTGTGATCTGCGCCTGGACCCTGGAGAGAGTAAAACTTGTATGTGTGTTTGCTTATATGAAAAAATATTTTAATCTATAAAAATCCATAAGCTTAAGGCAGTCTCCTCTTTTATTGTTCATCATAAACCCGACTAATTAATGCTGAATAATGCTCCTTAGTTTCAACACTAATGACACAATCTCTATATTAGATTTTCTTTATTTTTTTGTATTTCAAAAAATAAATATGTAGATTTTTCCCCAAAAGTTAGTGTGCTATTTGTAAATAAACACCACGTTTCTGTGTGTGACTCAAACATTCTGGCATATGTTGTCACTGTCCCACAGATTCCTACAGTGAGGTTGTTCCCAGCGACGGACCTCCTAGTTTCCGTGGTCAAGCAGTGAAGTACGTCTACAAACTGACCATTGGCTGCCAGAGGGTCAACTCTCCTATAAAACTACTTCGAGTTCCCTTCAGAGTGCTGGTTCTGCAAGGTGAAATATTTGTTTTAACAGGATCATTGAAAACTACAGCAATAGATAGACAAATGCTGATAAAAGTTTGATGTGAATACACTTGGACATGTAACACAGCTAGAATTCTTGTTGAAAAAAAGTGAAAGAGACTAGATTATAAAGAAAGTGGAGTTTAACAATTTAGAATTGTGCTATACGACTTCTTTCAAACTGGGATGTCCGATGTTGATGATGTAGGCATGCCAGAGCCTCCATTCCCCCAGGATGAGGAGGTATCTCCTTCCAACCCGTTCCTGGAGGAGGAGGAAGCAAGTCGCAGGGATGCTCGGCCTTTGGAAAGAGCAATGGACATGCTGATGGCCACCACTTCTAGACGCTGCCCCCGTGAGTCAGATTCTCCCTCTTTCTGCTCTTTGCTATAGTTTGAAGCACTGTATTGTTACACTTTAGTTGTGTTTTTTTATACAGATACTTGATCTGTTTTTGTTTTCTCTTAAACTGGAATAAGATAAAACAAGATATCAAAGTTTAGCTTTATTTATCCCAAAGGAAAATGAAATAACATAAGAAACGCAGTGTCTAAAGGTAGAAAGCAATGAGATGTAACTACAATACATGACTATGTACGTAATGTACATGTACATGCCTGTTGTTTTAGCTGTCATTCCTGCAGAAAAGGGAAGAGTTATACAGTTTGATGACCACGGGTTGAAAAGACCTCCTGTAGTGTTCTGTGCTGCATAAATATTACTGTATTATTTGTGCACTCTTTCCTTCAGGGTATCTGTTGTCCATAGGAAGAACTAAACTATAGAGCAAGAGCTGAAACTTTTGTTGTCTCCCTAGCTTGATTATTCATGCTATTAACATATCATATCTACATGTACATATGGAAAAATGGATGATACAAGCGACACAAAATAACTTTGTGAACTTATGAAGAGGCATCATAGTTCTTTCTAGATTAAATGTAACAGTTTATTATTTGCATGTCCACCTTTGACCTGTTTGCCTTCTGTTTTGTCCAGACATGTTTAATATCACCAACATGCGCGGGAAAGTGGCAAAGTTCTGCATCTTCAAGACTGTTTACAGACTCGGGGAGGACATCATCGGCACATTCAACTTCTCAGAGGGTGACATTCCCTGCTTGCAGGTTTGTTTGCCTTTTACTTTTTGTACACATTTTTAATTGAATCACTGTGCTTTACTGCAATACTGTGTATATGTTTTCCAGTATTCAGTGAGCCTTCAGAGTGAGGAGGAGATCCAGCAGCAGTACCAGCGGCGACCCGGACAGACCATCAGTGTGACTGGACACGGACGCCACCTGGAGTCCTGCCTCCACACTGCCTCCAGCCACTTCTCTCTCCCCATCCCCCTCAACGTCACGCCTGGGTTCAGCACAGACATAGGTCAGTCACCAGTAGACTGAAACATGTTGTCTCAAGTGATGTTTAAGAGTGGATGTTTCAATGATGGTTTTATTTTACCAGTTATGATACTACTCACAATCTCCTCTATGCAAAGTATTCACTGATTTGTCACATAGTGTGGAAGTCCTTTATATGAAATCTCAGTCTATTACAGTGACTCATAGATCAGTGCCATCCAAATCTTTTGACATAACTAAAAAGAAAAATACTCTTATTCATACTGTCTTTTAAAAGCCGTTGTTCCACAAGATGTGAATGAAAATCCTTCATATATTTTAAGATAGAATATATAATATGTTCGTTTTTTCTAGTTGTTTTCCTTGTAAATTAATGACTTTAATCTCAGACAATTTATTTGTTTTATCTTGCAAATTTTTGACTTTATCATCTCAAAAAATATTCAAGTTTTTCTTTTCATTTTGATGACGCTTTCATGAAAATTCCACTTTAGTCTCAGAGAATATCTGACTTTTAGTAAATTTACTACTAAAATCTAGGAAATTCTGTGTTCTCTTTATTATTATTATTTTTAACAATCTGTAAAAAATAGACCAGTCCAAGCATTGTCTCTTTTATTAACACTGAAGGCATGTTCAACAGTTTGGACATTTCATTTATCACCAGGAGAAAGTTAAGTTTTAGGTATGAGAAATTTAATTCAAGCTATATGTAGAACCCTTTTCATGATTTTCAGTGCCATCTGTGTATCAAGTTTACATCTGGCATCAAACTATGCAGGACAAAGTCATACATCTACGTGATCACACGTCAACGTAACACCCAAACCCTCGACTCTTTTTCTTCAGTGACCCTGAGGTGGCGCCTGCACTTTGAGTTTGTCACAGCCCGGGAGCCTATGGAACCGCCCACTGTTCTGCAGAACCAGTCAGAGGTCACGGTGTGGGCTGGGGCCGAGCACGTCGACGTGGACACCTTCAGCTGGAATCTGCCAATCAAAGTCCTGCCCACCAACCCAGCTTTGGCGTCCTACGTGTCACAGTTTACAGGGACCAACAGCATTAATATTTGACTGTCGTATGTGAGAGGTCGGTTAACATGAACTAATCAGGAATTCATTTTGTGTTTCCGAGCGCATCGAAAGGTGTTTGTGTGTGTGTGTGTGTGTGTGTGTGTGTGTGTGAGAACGACCGACAGTTTTTATCTTTCCAGACGAGAAATGTTAGCACAGAGGTGCACATTTCAGGAACAAACGAGCTATTCCAGTGTTTATGCAGAGCCAGTGGACACCATATGTAAAGTATGCAACTTGCTGTATGTTTTTCCTTTTGTCGCTTTCATTTGGCGGTGCGTTCGAACTTTGACAAACTTTAAACACGTTCTTTTTGGGAAGATTGGAACTCTGGTTCTTTCAGTATTTATTCTGTTTTTATTTACTTGCACACTTGTTCTTATGCTGACACTTTTTCCTGCGTTACTGCTTTTCTTTCTGCCTGAGCGACGACTGTACTGAGATACAAGAACCACAGGAGAAAATTAAAAGTGTGTCTTAAATGTCATAAACTCGCTCTCATTTCTCTTCGTAAACAGTCATTTTATTCAGAGGTTAAATGAGTTACAGCAGAAAACAGGTCAAAATCAACAGAAATATATATTAATGTACATATATATTTGCTGATATTTACAATAAGTCATTAATGGATTAATTAGAGATGGCTTTGGTTTAATATACAGATTTTTTAAGCGTGTAGAATTACTGCATTAAAATGAAGCTGTTCAGCCATGAGTGGATGCGTACAATGATAACTAATATTGAACATACACTTGAAAAAGATGTTTTATGTAAAGAAGTTGGATATAAATTTCCTATTATTTGGTGGAAAATGCTGCAGTTATACTTAAATATTCTTTCACAGACAAATTTTACTCACATTTCCAACGTTGATTATCAAACCTGAACATTCCAGGTGCTGTTATATTTGTTCAGTATGTGTTTAAAGCGGTTACTGATGTTTAACTGTAGTGAGTATCGGCTTCACAGGCAAACAGACTGAACTTGTAGTCGCTGGTCCGAGTGGCTCTCTAGCCCTCCAGCTGTTGGTGCAGCTGAAGAGAACCGTGGCTCGGGTCCTTGTTTGCTTCTCCAGGGGAGCAGGGCAGGCGGGGGTCAGCTGTCTGGACCAGGAACACTTTGCAGGTCACTGGCTCCACCCGAACCTCGCACCACGCAGGGAAGTCCACCGGCCGATGCACCCTGGACAGAAACAGAGGTACAGTTAAACACTTTTCCTGCACTTTACACTTTATTCTTTGAAATGTTGCCCATAAACTGTAGAAAAGTGAAAAATGATCTTCAGAGGCTGCTGCTGCCTGTGGTGGAGATTTTACAGTAACATTTACAAGAAAAGTATCAGTAAAAGCATATAAATGTTCATGACTTTATACTTTAACTCTACCTTTGCACTGCAAGTTAGGATTTTTATATTTTTAAAAAAATCAGCTTATAAATGTAATTAGAAATCTGATATATTAGTCTGTAGAATAGTTGGCGTGACCTTCAGCTGAGCCTCAAAATGAAAGTTAATTTTGTTTAGTGACTGGTTCTGCTTTGAATGCTTTAAATATGCTTTTGACTTTAACTTCTGTACTATTTGTACTCTTCTCTTTTATTATGAATAAGGGACCTGAATACTTCTCCCACATCTGCTAACCACAACCCAAATTCTCCTGTGATGACAAATGAATTTACATCCACTCCATCGGTTTTTCTTTGTTTGTTTTTGTGGGAACAATTAATTAAAACTTAACTAACAGCTAATTTCCATCCCTGCACATGTAGACAAACAACAGCCACACAACAATTACACTACATAAAGCAACACAATACATAAAAGTTTATCCACTATTGTCTTAAGTCTGCCTGACACTGGTAGAGTAGAGACTTATCTGCATATACACAGTACATAGTGACTGTGGGCATCTGGACACCAAACCACACTGACTGTTTGTGTACTCACGTCTCGCAGCAACCGACCCCGACAGGGTGCAGACAGGTGCACTGCATGCAAGCGTTGTCCATCCAGGTCTCTCCCAGTGAGTAGTGCCTCCCCTCAAACTCACACAGAGCTGAAAGGACACACGGCAAAGATGACCTCAGTAATATGCATGTTATTAACGATGAAGATTATTTGAGTCCAAATGTTAAGTGATTTTAAAGTGTTGAACTCACCTCTGGAGTTGAAGTGGCACTCCATGGGTGCAGCGGAGCCGCCGCTGGTCCACAGGAGAAACCCTGCAGCTGCGAGCACCCAGTTAACCCCGGTGAGCTCCATCTTCATCTGGTCTGGTCAGCTTGTGGTTCTTCTTCTCCCCTTTGTTCCCTCATTTATACATCCTGAGGGTTTACGACCATGGCGTGGAGGTGTGGTTAGCGCCGTCATGTGGCCCGCAGCCCTGGCTGTGGACGGTGTCAGCGGTGCCATCCATTGGGAATGAGGAGGTGGTGGTAAATCGAAGGGAATCTTGTATCTTGGCACGGTTTTGGCAGTCCGTAGATCACCTCGCTGCGCTTCAGTGGGCATGACTCTAAAGTGATAGAAACAATGACACATCCATGCGGTGACTAAGAGAGAGAAGGGTAGGAGAGAGGTGAGGTGGAGGGCAGTGAAGGAGAGAGGTTACGTCCAAAGAGAGGAGGAGGAGGAGGAGGAGGAGGGAGAGAGGAATGGTGTGGAATTATCAAACATGACTCATCACCGTTCAACCTCTGCTTTGGTTTAGTATAGGCCAGGTCACTGTACAGCAACTGAAGATATGACTAATGCACATGTAGAACACATGTCTAAATATTTATACGTGACAACACTTTAACAAATAAATCACATTTAGGGATTTAAAGTATGGAGGTAATGGATCTACTGCAGGGTACCTTTGGATTGACAGCTACAAATAAGTTAGCATCACTTGTACAGACAGGAGACAAATGAAAGGAAGACAGTGAATGAAATACGGCAAAGCAAAAGGAATTATATACTATCATGTTTATCAACTGTTCTCAACTCAGCTGAACACCTGTAGGAGACTTTGCACCGATGTTTTGACCTCCCAGCAGTGTTCAGAAGTATAACTAGTAGTGACCTAGGATCACTGAAGCTGTTCTGGTGAATGAACCAACACATTTCTATTGGATCCTTAACTTATTATCTGTATGCTAATATACAGTATTATTAACAGAATTTGTTTAATCTGTGCAAAAACTGAGGCGTAAAAAATAAGTTGAGATTTTACAGAGGTTTATGTGCCAGCAAATGCCTTACATGGACTATAACTGGACAAGAAAGCTGATCAAGAAAACTGGTTCTGTGCTGGGGATAAGTCTGGAACCACTGGAGCTGATTGTTCAAAAAAGAATGCTGCACAAGATGATGAAGATGATGGAGGATTCTTCCCACCCTCTCCACAACACAGTGAAGAATCAACAGAGTGTGTTCAGTGGGAGACTGCGTCAGGTTCGCTGTACAACGGAGAGATACAGAAATTAATTCCTGCCAACAGCCATCACTTTAAAAAACAAATCTGACTGACTGACTGATTATTATTGTTGTATATATATGTTATATTGATTTTTTTTGTTTTTTTTTAAAGTGAGCTTTTTACAATATTGAATTTCCCTTCTGGGATAAATAAAGTATTTTTCATTTAATTTCATTCATTTCATATAATAACCCTGTGTACAATATGGAATTGTCATTGTTGCGCTTTTTTGTACGGATCAAACAAAAATCTTAAACAAGCTTTGAAGCAAGCAAAAAGGTGTATTCCCCTCAAATCTGAGCTGTTCCTTTAAGACTGTAGAACAACAGGAATAAATATTTTCAGCAAAAGAGTTTTCAGCAATATCTTATATAATCATGTTCATCCACCACTAAATGAAACAAAGTGTGGCTCTAAACTTCCAGGGACAAAACAAACATGTAAGTAGACTTTGCAATACCAAATGTTTGTCAAACTGCCAAAATTGAAGAACAAACAAACAAACAAAAAGATCCGAGGCATTCTTCTGGCAAAGAGTTAGAAAAAAAAAAAACTTTATGCAGATGGCTATGAAAAAATGAAATTCTAAAAACAATAATAAGCATATGCGCACATTTTCTATATTTTTAGAATTTTATCAGGAAGTAGTCAAAATCTATAAAGAATGATGGTTTTGTTGAACTTAGGAATACCTTCAACCTGTTTTCTTCTGTGAAAGTTTTGTGTTCCCTTCCAACCAGAACCACCGTTATATTTGTTTGAGCTTCCAAGCAGTCGAGGTTCTTTTCATTAAGAATGAACCTTTAAGGTCAACGTTCAAAATGTTGTTTTTGCATATTAATATTCTTTTTTATTTTAATAGCTTCGCCATTTTATCACAGGAGTGGTTTTCTAAAAATCTATGTGCTTGTGTACATCATTGGAAATAAAACATCAATCCTCAATATCAGAATTATACTTAAAAAATTGGGATCTACTTTACTGTGCACTCTGCAGGCATGTATGTGCGTTTCTTTGTAATCTTTGGGCAAAATGTCAAAAATGTCACTTGACCTTACTGCGCAGTGAAGTTTCAGTCCCTCCGTTAACAAAACATGAGCTCATTTTCTTCCACTTGTTTACAATCTGCGGGAAGAAGCAGAGATCATAGGAAAAATCCTCTCAAGCCTCACACAGGAGGCCCCGGGGCCTCATAACATCGTGTTTTACGTGCCTTTTCTCTGGTACCCCACAGTAGTTGGAGAGCGTTGATGGGTCTCCCTGATCAGCCAGGGGAGCTTCTTCATTCAGTCGGTCTGTATGACTCACAGTTGCCTCCCTCAAGCTGCACACACTTTCTGTGTAGGCTCGTTTCAGACCAAGTTGCCATCAGTATAACCAAAGAGAAGGCCCGGTGTAATGGAACAGATAGTTTGGGCATCTCAGGGGTCAGTTTCTTTGCTCACTTTTTGTTTATTTAGATGGCGTTTCAGAGGTAGGAAAGTGTTTAGATGGCACGTTCTTCTGTCGGTTCATCTAGGGTGGTGCTGACCTCTGCAGAGCCTATGGGTCCCATACAATGCACTGACAGAGCTCCCGCCCTGATCTGACAACTGTCTTGTCGTCAGCATCGATGAAAAGGGAGGACCTCATCAAAACAAGAGATGAGGATTTTCCTGTCACACGCCTATTGCCCTTCACGGACATGCACTTAATTGGTGATAAGTGTATTTTAATTGGAGAAGACTTTCTGTTTGAAAGTTCACGAGGACGTTATCATGACATCATCAGCATCCTTGGAGTCCTTAATCTTTAATACATGGACTGCTCACAAAGATGAAATGTCTTCTGGATTGGAAACAGCTAGAAAACCCATGTTGTATGACTGTCTTTCATTTTAAGATTCATGTTTACAGAAGTTGTGAGTTTCAACAGAGAAAAAAAAGAGAAACATGCGCATTCCAACACACTAATGTTTCCATTCTAGTTCTTTGTACTACTTAGAGCCTTTTATTTAAAATGACAAAATACACAGAAACTTCAATACAACATTAAAATGAAGTGACCTTTAATACAATTTAAATTTAAAATATCAGTTTAATCTTTTTCTTAATCACAACAATTTGATAATGAGATAATACACATATTTATTTACCCGTTTAATTGATTGATGAAACCTGTTTAGTTTTATGTCATTCACACAAAAAGCAGAACTGAAGAAGCCTCATGGATGAGAGGTGAAATATCTGCAGGACCAAAACCAGCAGCCCACTTGTCTTCTGCTGAAGTTCTTAGAACTAGATGTACTTCCTGTGGTATGAAGACTGTCCCATGACACTGCGTGCAGCACAATGCACAGCTTAATGGAGGATGTATGCTGCTTTCTTTTCTGTTCAGTCAGTGATTGAAAATAAAAGAAAAAGTATGGCCTAACTTATATTGTTTAAAATTATGAACAAATAGACAATGTCTGTGTTTGCAAGCTTTGGGGGAAAAAAAAATAATTTAAGTTAATTAAACTAAAAATTAATTGAAATTAATTAAAATAACCAATAATTGAGGGAAAAGCTTTTCTCATTTGTGAATTCACTTCATGCCTAATACCTAACTAACTAAATAAATAAATAAATAAATGAATTAATTAATAAAAACTGACGCTCTGGTGTATAATTGTCTTGTCTGGTCTTTCTTATTGTCAAACTAGTTCCTTTTCGACATAATCGTTCCCCTTTTTTTTTTTGCATTGCGCCTTTAATCAGCGCCGCTTTTGTACTTCCTTCTCTTCCGCAGCAGACTCGACTAATCAATCCCCGATGTAAGGATCGCCTGCTCAGTCATCGCAGCCTCGCTACATCAGGGATCGACTACTCTAACCTGTCTGTAGATTTCGGTTGCTGCTGCTGCTGCTGCTGTGTTGTTGTGTAGCTATCGAAAACACTAACTCGTGCCCGGTGAGACAACCATTAAAATAATGTCTTTGCCGTGAACCCAGCAGCTCAAAGTTACCTTTTAGAACTTGTGTACAGACCGACAGCGCCTGTGAGCGTGTGTCCGCGGTGTTAGCTGGGCTCTGTGGAGTGTTTTTGTGCTGATCCGAGGCCTTGTCGCAACCACAACCGCTCGCAAAGTCTCAGATAACCGTCGGGGATTTCATGTTGAAGTCGTCAGGCTTTTGGGTAGAATTTAGTGTTTTCCCGTCGGAAGATGGACACTGATAAATTCAACTATGTTTACAGCTGTGACCTGGACATCAACGTTCAACTTAAGATGTAAGTTTTGCACTTAATGCGTCGCTTTTGGTCGAGCGGTGAAACTAGTCAGTCTTGTGACTGAACAGGATGCTGGCTGTGTTTGCTGAGCGTGTGTTTGAACGATGTGTGATCCTCTAGCATGGCTCTGTGACTTTAATCTGAGGTTTATATCGTTTAGAATGGTCTGTTTATCGATCACATTTTAACCTGATAGTCAAAATAATATCACAGATTGTCCTTATAAGCCGCAGGGTGACATTATACTGAACTGCACTGAAGCAACTCACCAATTAATCTGTTTTCTTTAATTAAATACATTTATTAGGCCAAAATAGCAGTAAATTGCTCTCTTTCTTTTCGTTCTATGTTTGGAAACTTTATATTTTGTGTGTTTAAAGTACTTCAGGTAAATGTATTGGACATTTTTATGATAAACTGATTAATCAGTGAATTGAGAGAATATTCTTGAAATGAATTGACAATTGATTGCATCCATAGTCTGACAGCTGAAGAGTAAGCAGCTCCTTACATTAGTTTACCATATAATTTCCTTCAATAACTTGCTTAAATGTATTATTTTGTTATCAGAATTGGAAAACATCCCTACTAACTAAAATCAGGTGACTACCAGGCCTGCCATGGCTGACTTAGACACATGAATAAACCCATTGTGAACAGCATGAGTAACCCCACTTCTTTGCCTTTTTATATAATGCTGCATTGTTTATGAACAGTAGTGTGTCTTTTTTTTATTGTGGTATTTTTTATTTTCCTGCTTTCCACTCACATTTCCCAGCTTTTCCCATCATCTGCATGCAGGATTGTAAACCTGCATCATTTAGGTTAATGGAAGTGCCAATAAGGATTTCATTTGATTCATTTATGTCATGTGGGCCGTGTCTTAACACAGTGTTTACCCTACGTACTAGTGTTTTGTGCATAAAGAGCAAAAAGAACAGAAGACATTTAGCAGAACTTGTAGAGAACGACACACATAGCAGCTTTCTAAATAGATGTTGGTATTAGTGGAAATAATAAAATGTATATTGTTGTTGGGTAGCCTGGATAGCTCAGCGGGGAGGGCAGGCGACCCATGTACAGGGGCTACAGGGGCTACAGTCCCTGACGCAGCGGCCTGGGTTCGATTCCACCCAGCGGCTCATTTGCTGCATGTCTCCTCCCCACGTTTCTCTGTCTGTCTTTCACTGTCACTATCAATAAAGGCGGAAAAGGCCAAAAATAAATCTTAAAAAAAAAAAGTAAATTGTTGAGGAAATGCTATAATATGTGCAGATATTAACATACCCATATAACAGATGTTATACAAATTGAGTCACAAATATGTCTTAATTCATGGGATGTTTTGTTGAGCTGGTATAATCATCTTTTTCCTTTCTCCTGACACAAAACCAATTTTTAAAAAAAATCAAGCCAACATAAAGACCACTTTGTAAAAGATGACAAACCCTCCATGTAAAGGTCTCCAGATACTGACTTTATTTTGAGAGGACAGGGCTCATCTTGATAACTTCAGCAAACGATCACAGTGCATCTCCCGTTTCTCACCTCCACACTTTGTCCATCTCTTCTCTCCTCCTCCAGCGGCAGTTTAGAAGGAAAGCGAGAGCAGAAGAGCTACAAAGCGCTGCTGGAAGACCCGATGCTGCGGTTCTCTGGCCTCTACCAGGAGAACTGCTCTGACCTCTACGTCACCTGTCAGGTGTTTGCTGAAGGGAAACCTCTTGCTTTGCCTGTTCGCACCTCGTACAAAGCGTTCAGCACACGTTGGAAGTAAGAACCAAGCTGTCTTTTACTGTCATATGTGTGATATATGATTTTGGATTTTTAGAGCTAAACAAGTACAAAACTGTTTAAAATATTAACTCAGTTTCTTAAAGCTTTGGAAAAGTCTGTCCGATCCTTATCTCCTATTAAGTCCATTCTCGCTGTCCTGTGCAGCTGGAACGAGTGGCTCCGGCTGCCAGTCAAGTACCCAGACCTTCCCCAAAGTGCTCAAGTTGCTCTAACAGTGTGGGACATCTATGGGCCCGGAAGAGCCGTCCCTGTCGGAGGAACCACCGTCACCTTGTTTGGCAAATATGGGTGAGTGTATCTCTGCACCCTTGTTATTGGTTCCTTTCTGTTAGAGTGAAGCATTGCTTAAAACAGGGGTGCCCAATCCTGGTCCTCGAGAGCCCCTATCCAGCATGTTTTAGATGTTTCCCTCTTCCAACACACCTGATTCACATGATCAGGATCGTTATCAGGCTTCTGCAGAGCTTGATGATGAGCTGATTGTGTGAATCAGGTGTGTTGGAAGAGGGAAACATCTAAAACATGCTGGATAGGGGCTCTCGAGGACCAGGATTGGGCACCCCTGGCTTAAAAGATCTGTTTTGCTGCAAGGCTGAACAATCAGCTACCACTTCTCGGCACAGCTGAACTTTGTGCACAAATTAACACTGATATGTAAACACCTCCTCCTGCCATTTTTCTAGTATGTTTCGGCAAGGGATGCATGACCTGAAGGTTTGGCCGGGCGTGGAGGGGGATGGAGGGGAGCCCACCACCACGCCAGGACGCACCAGCAGCAGCCTGGCAGAGGACCAGATGGGCAGACTCGCCAAGGTACAATAACGCCAATGTGTGGACAGGAAAAGAGAGTGTAGTGGCAAGGATAGGATTTCATGAGTGAGTGTGAGACTAAATGGCTTAAACAGAGGTATGGGTGAAGCAGTAGGATGGAAGGCAAACAAGAAACAGTGTACGTGCCTTGGATAAAGAGACAAACCCTCCGATGCAACGCCGTGTCTAAACCATCATCTGTTCCAGGGCCCTGACCTGGAGGTACTCAGTGATGTGAGTACAAGCAGAGGAGTTAGTGTTGGCAATGCAGAATACGTGTGTGTACTGTATGTGTATGGAACGTGGCCTTGGCCAAAATGGATTTGCAAATAAATCTCCACTTGAATAATAACCTTCTATATGATGATGATTACCACATCAGAACAATTCAGGCAGGGACATTAAATACTTCTGTCGTCCGTTAAAGCCCTGTTTGCTTTGCATTGTTCTATGTGGGAAATCCAGAAGCAGGAATAATGTATTCAAATACATTTTGACCCAGGTTTTGGTGTGAACACTTGTTGTCTGTGAAGGTGTACGGCTGCGTTCTTGAGAGCATCACACACTTTGGTTTTTAAGTTTCCGGCTGTTGCCATATCTTAGTGTGTTTTAGTGTGTGTGCATGGATTTCATGTTTCTGTGGACACAAGAAAACGATGTTGTTGCAGCTTTTTGGGATATTAAGAGGAAGCCATCAGGGAGTACATTTCATTTTTATAATATCTGGTTCCATTGGCTGTTTCTTTAGTCCCGTTTTCTAAACAAAACTCACTGATTCCTCATTTTTTAAAAATTCACCCTGAGTGCAGTTGGCTTCATCATATATAAAGTTCTGCTAGCAGTTCTTATGTTGTTTTAAAGAGTGAGTACTAATTCTAACCAGCTGAGTTGTGGGCTTCCTATTCATTGCCAAGTGTTTGCTTACATTCCCAGCACCCACACTCACTAACTGATGAGTGGATTGGCTGCTGAGTGTGTGACCGTAGATGCTAGACTGGCTGCTGGCACCGACTTTGTGCATGATTGGACGAGCTGTTTGCACACCAGCCACCATGCTGTGACCAGTTCTGCAACAACAGAACCTCATTTGTGTATGTATTTTGCTAAACCTTTGTCTCTTTTCTGGTCTCTGTGCTTGCTTTCTCCCCGTCTCCATCCAGCTGACTAAAGCTCATCGACAGGGCCACATGGTGAAGGTGGACTGGCTGGACCGGCTGACCTTCAGAGAGATCGAGATGATCAACGAAGTGAGTTGGTTGCAAATGCAGAGTCAGGAAAGCAGATCAGCTGGATTTAAGTAATAGTTATCATTAAGACTTTGGAAGTACAGATTAGTCTGAGCTGGACTTGTTTGCTGATCTTGCAGGAATGCAGTGAGTTACTTAAAAAGGACAATGCAAGACTATTTACCATTTCATTGTATGCATGTGCATTTTTTTTTTAGAGTTGTCCTTGCTGTATCTGTGCTGTTTTTTTTGGTTTTTTTGTTGTAAAAATATCTCTTTGTGTGTTTCTGCAGAGTGAGAAGCGCAGCTCTAACTTCATGTACCTCATGGTAGAGTTCCCTCGTGTCAAAACAAATGACAAGGAGTACAGCATTGTCTATTATGAAAAGGTATTTACATTTTTATAGCATCCAACTGGCTGCATGTTATTTTGTATTATCTCTACAGCAGGCAGCTTCCATATGTGTACAATGTCAGCTGATCAGTGATTATACTTTGTCTCCATTCAGGATGGAGATGAAGCATCGCCCGTTCTTACCAGCTGCGACATTGTCAAAGTTCCTGATCCGCAGATGGGGATGGTGAGAGGACACACACATTATAGTGGCTTTGGTGTTCTTAATGAAATATAAAAGACGCTGTGTCGTGGTTTAGTCATAGATTTGTATTTATTTCACAACATAAAGTCTGGATGTTTGCTTTACTTGTGCTTGTAGGAGAACCTGGTGGAGAGCAAGCATCACAAACTGGCTCGTAGCCTTCGGAGCGGCCCCTCAGACCACGACCTGAAGCCCAACGCTGCAACACGAGACCAGCTCAATGTAAGGAACTGGCAGCTCAGTGTTTTATTTATATAATCCAACTGACGGTGCATCTTTCCAATGTCACAAAAGACACGGCAATGGAAAATAAAATAACACGGTAAATAGAGGTGAAAGGCACTGGGCTGCTTTGTAAAGATGTCCACAGATCTGAAATTAAAAGAGCCACAGCCTTTTAAGCACTTCCTCTTTAGTTTACCTTAGTTATGGACAACTTATCTACTGACCTACTGCTGAAGCAGGACTACAGTGTTCTAATGCAGAGGTCTCATGATCACAACTCATTAGGATATAATAAACTGCAAGAACTTCCCAAAAAATGTGGTCAGTATGAACGAAAAAAAAAAGCCTGTCAAAACATGATGTAAACACCATTCTAGTAAAAACAGGAGACTGAGAAGTTGAGTAAATCTACTTAAGTCACATAGTAGTAAAATAAAAAGGAAGTACAATGAAAGTGCGGATCACTGCTGCACTCTAGTTGTGTGACTCGTCACTTTTTTTTTTGGTAAATCAGCAGCTTTGGCATTGCATTTGTGCTGCTGCTGGGAGTTTTCCAGATGGTTTGAATGTAGTTTAATCCCATGACCAGACCTGCCACAGATAGAAATACTCAAGAATCATCTCCCCAACTGTTACACTTATCTTCAACACTTCAGTGTATGTTTTAGGGCAAGGTTTCTTATTGTGCTTTTTTATGAAACACTTAGTTGAGCATATGATGTTGACCTCAGCTGTCGGCTTTATTTTCAGTTGATTAGTCTACATGTCAGATATTTATATTTATACATTAACTCATGTAAGACACTGCTTCATGCACTTTAGCCTTTCAGATGCCTGGATGAACACATCTTCCAGATAGCACTCTTTACTGACTGGTCATTTTGTAATCCTCCTGTTTGCTTTAGTTGTTGCTGAACTTGATTTAATGCATGTACCAACAGATCATTGTGAGCTACCCTCCAACCAAGCAGCTGAGCTCTGAAGAACAAGACCTGGTGTGGAAGTTCAGATACTACCTGACCACACAGGAAAAGGTTAGTGGTTTGCTAGCCTGCGCTATGTCAAAGTGTGCGTTACTTTTCTCGAGCATTCTCCCTCATCGGCTGCTGTTGTGTACAGTTTTGTCAAAGGCTTCCTCCTCCTCTTTCTCAAACTCCAGGCCCTGACAAAGTTCCTCAAGTGTGTGAACTGGGATCTGCCCCAGGAGGCCAAGCAGGCTCTGGAGCTGCTGGGGAAGTGGAGGCCCATGGACGTGGAGGATTCCCTGGAGCTGCTGTCGTCCCATTTCACCAACCCCACAGTGAGACGCTACGCCGTGGCGCGCCTACAGCAGGCCGATGATGAGGTAGGAGAACCAAGCGCCGCCAGGGGTCAGGATGCACGTGTTGAAAAATGTCTCCTTCGATGTAAATTATAATATTTAAGTGTGCCTTCTAATTTTGTGTCTAAATTGAAGTACACTGAATGTGTGTTTGTGCACGGGCTGTTTGTATGACAGTA